AAATTAAGAACCAATATGAAATTCCAACTTAAAAAATTACTTCTGAACAACAAAATGAATAAAAAATATTGATCAAATGAACAAATCTCACATACTAGGATTAAAGACGTGAGCTCAACAAACAATAGCTCAATTATATTAACTACTAAATAGAACATCACATATTCCAATAGGTAACATGCTAATAATTTACAAGAGCATTATGAAACCTATTTGGAGCTAAGAGCTTGAACTGTGAGAGACAGCCAATTTTTCATACATCAATCACATACCAACTCCAAAAAAATATTGGTTTTTGAAAGTAAAACTTTAATATCGATAAATCACTATTTTTTCAACATCCCTAAGTTATGTTTGATTTACTCTTTACATTTTTTTCATTCAACTTATTCTGATGAGCCTAATTTCATTAAATTGAATTTAGTTATAAGGAAGTGTTTTGAAACCCAAGCTCAAGCACAGGGTTGTGGAAAGAAACCAATAGCACCAGTAACAATTTGCCTTTGTACTGGTCAAATAGTAAATTTACCACTGGAACACAACCCCATATTGTATAACCTATAAAAGAAAAATATTATGCAAAGATAGTTCATAATTATTATATAATATAGGTTATGTTATCAATACTTAATTTTAATGTAAATTTAGAAGTTAAAAATAAAACCTTTTAGGTCAGTCTGGGCCTCAGAGATGCGGCAGTGAGGAGATCCCTCTCACCAGGCCTGCAAAAGAGTAGGAATTAATTTTTACCCGAAGTACTTTTGGTCAACCGAATGTAAATATCATGTATCATCATATTCTGACCAGACATTGGAAAATATATTCAAAATACATATATATTATATTTACGAAATTATGGTACCATGTTTGATAAAAGAAATCTTTTATATTTCTATTTACAATGTTGTACAGATATAAGCACATAAAGAATCAAATCTTACTAACTATAGGTTTTGAATAAAATGTTACATGGAATAAAAGATTCTCTAAAATTAAGGATGCATTTGCTTTCTTGTTGGTGTAATAGAAAATTTTATTAATTAAGTAATATTATATTTTGAGAACATAGGAAGTAGAGAATTTTCTGATAATACTTTTTTTAAAGTATATAATGGCATTTGAAAATACGAATAAATAGAAGCTAAAACAATAAAAAATTACCATCTATTTTCAATTTATTTCATGATTTTATACTGAATTTTAATGCATACATTCTGTTTAAGTTAAAAATATCTTTTACAAATCTTTAGTTTAAATTTTACTGAGGAAATTGACTTGATCCTACTTTAAAGATTGCTATAGCTAAATTATATAAATTGTTTTTATATAATTTTAGACATCAAATGTATGAGATCTTCAATTTAAGACACTTGTTTTACAAATCAATTTATATGAAAAAGGTAGGACTTAAATTTGATGCTATACAGTAATAAAAATATAAGGTGTATGTGATCTGAAGAAATAACTATACTTAATGAATAAATTATTTAATTAGAATAATATTAATGAAATAATCAACAAGACATAGTTCATTTTTACTTTCATTTACCTCTATATGAAATATACAGTAAAGGAAAGTATTGCGATTGTGAAAATTTTTGAATCTCAGTGATCAACGGAAATACACGTTTTGAAGTCCCCTGAGTCCAAATAACCAAGTCCCGCAAAATGGTCTGTGTGTTAATAGTCTAGCTCAAAATGAAAAGTCGTACGAAAGTGAAATTGCGTATTTAAGGTCTTTATATGCTAGGGATGTTACAGTACCTTTTTTGTCAAAATAAACTGACCAGAAGTGGCACTTTATATCATGGGCTAAACACATTTTTATGATTTACTGGAAAATGGCTCTAACGATTTTGATTAAATTCATTACATCAGTGTAAAATTAAGCAGTTTTAAATAAAATGTAGTTTTTATTCTGATTGATGTTCTCTAACATGCTTAAATCGCTAATTTTCAATATTAGCTTATTAATATTAATATTAATATTTAATTGTATAGATTACACAGATATAAATATTAAAATTTGAATATATATATATATATATATATATATATATATATATATATATATATATATATATATATATATATATGTACATATTATATATTATATATTAAAGGAGAAATAAAAAAAAAAATATATATATATATTTTTATTTTTATCAGTACCCTTATATATTATTATATATATATATATAAATATATATATATAAATATATATATATATATATATATATATATATATATATATATATATATATATATATATATATATATATATATATATAAGGATACTGATAAAAATAAAAATACCCACAATGAAATATAAATAATTATAGCTTCTATAATTTTTACTTTCACTTATCCTTTGTCTGAAAATATTTATTTCTGCTAAGAGGGTGGTAAGTGAAAGTTGTGTGATGCGCGCACTGCACCAGGTTTTTTTTATAAGCAATCCACTATAAGTGCATTTATTTCACATTAAAATTTGTAGTCAACAAAGTTGCGGTTTTCACAAATGCTATTGTTAGTATTATTTAATATTTAATTGTATAGATTACACAGATATAAATATTAAAATTTGAATATATACATATATATATATATATATATATATATATATATATATATATATATATATATATATTATATATTATATATTAAAGGAGAAATAAAAAAAAATATATATATATATATTTTTATTTTTATCAGTACCCTTATATATATATATATATATATATATATATATATATATATATATATATATATATATATATATATATATATAAGGGTGCACGCACTGCACCAGGTTTTTTTATAAGCAATCCACTATAAGTGCATTTATTTCACATTAAAATTTGTAGTCAAGGAGACGATGGATTTGGGATGTCTTTACTAAATAAAGCAATATCACAGTTAACATCAAAAATTTAATTTAACCATAAAGCTCAACCACTGCTCTATTTATATCTGATTCTTATTACCACAAGACTAACATAAACCAGAAAATAAACAGACGCTATGTACCAACCATTAAAAGACTTAATAATTATCATAACTTCTTCCCTTAACCCTAACTATTCTTATATGCATCCCTCCCCATGTCCCTTCCATTCTAATAACATTACAAAATTCATATGCTCACCTACCAACTAGGGTAAAGCCTAGCTTTTTATCGTATAGCTTTCCAATTTCTACACTCATCAAAACAATACCTATCCCTCTTAAACACCAATCCTACATTGTAAATCACATCCCTTGTGCCACTCCCAGTTGTAATTTCTTTTATATTAGAGAGACTAAAAATTTATATTTTCTGAATAAAATAATTATTTATTTTTTTATTTAATTGATTGTAGACCAAAGGTCACCAATAACATATGTTTTTATTTTAATTTTATTGTCAATGTTTTAGCTTCTTAAGCCATTTTCAAGTATCTGTAAAAAATATAATAATCAGTGATCTGTCCTTCAGATATTTCAATTTTTAACTTTCTGTAAATTGTCCTAATCCTTCATCATTACTGTTTTGTAACTTAGTGTATAATATAATAAATTTAGATTATTTTGGTTTATAATAATAAAATCACCTATCAAATATTAAAAATAACACAGAATTATACAATCAATATTTATAATAAAAAACATATAACAATTAGTAAACCAACAAACTGAAGTAGATAACTCAAACATGTTTTATGCTAACGTAATATCCAAAATTAATGCCAAAATATTTGTACGCCTTCAATAGGTATAAATAAAACAATTAAATTCTAATCTTTCCACTCTTATTGCTATAAAAAAAAAATTAATCCAGTCTTGAGTGAATAGAAAGACAAGAAAGGTCAAACTTAATCCAGGATCGTAGTTTTGATCAAATTACTAGATTTATTTTTTAAAAATAAAATTAACATTACATTGAGTTTTATAAATAAACTTAGAAATAGCCATGAAATTGCTTAAAAACAAGAATGGATCACTTGGATAAATTGTAAAAAAAGATATATAAATTAAAAAAAAAAAAATTGTGCATGATGAGGTAATTTCATTATTGTAAACCAAAATAATCTAAATTTATTATATTATACAGGGTGTTCCATAAGTGGGGAATATTTATAGAAGTAACAGCAGATCTCATGAGCTACCAAAAATTGTATATAAACAAAAAAACACCTTCAAGTACCCATGTTTTCAGTATAAATGACTACAATTAATTGTTGCAAAAACTTTTATTTCTCGTTTTTTTCATAATTTGGGATGTATTATGATAAACTTAATTGGCTAAATACACTTTTTATTTTAAAAAAAAAAGTTAAAAATAATGATTGTTAGTAAACCTCAATTCTATTTATATGTACTTAAAATTAATTAAAGAGAGAAGTTTTTCTAAAAGTATCTGTAGTATAGTTGGAGAGTGATGAAAAAAAAATCTCTAATAATTTATATTTTTAAGAACCGACCTTAGCTTAGTTTAGTCCATCAAAAGTCCTCTTTAAATGGTTTTAACAAAGAGAAACTCGTCTTAATTTGAAGTAAATTTTGTCTAGTTTACAGTGAAGCAATTGGTAATTACATAAATTAAATATTTCTTTAGTTATCACTTCATATTGAACAAAAAGCATGAAACTTTTATGGTTACCAATATTATATTATACCAATCATTGAACAGTATATTTCTTTACTGTATATTTTAAATCTGAAAGCACCACAATTATCAACTTTCGGTTTCAATCAATTGAACGGTCAACTATTTTCCATTAATATATGCAGTACATTTTCTTGATGGATATAGGCACAGAAATGGTAGCTAGTCATTAATATTTGTAAATTAAAAACAATGTAATAATTATTATATACTACATACACAGATTCAATAACAAAGGTAATGGATCTCTTTTAAACATAAATACTGTAATATCTTATTATATAGTAATTATCCATTCTTTTTTAAAAGTATTTTAAGTTACAGCCTATAGGCTTTTAAGCCTATTATGGAGGTTTTGGACTGACTCCAACAGGGAGTATCTGAACTTGAAGTAAAGGAACTCGTCATTTCTATACATTATTTCTGTGCTCAAGCCATATAACATACATCTAATTAACTTTACACCAATTGTTATGGTGTCCAACGGACAGCAATCGTACACTTTTGTTATCATATCGAAAATGAAAATTTCTATATTTTTGGTATCAAATTATATAAATTATTTAGTTCAAACACTTCCCTGCACAACTGTTGGCCTTAAAACAGTATTTCCTTACTAAGAACTTAATTCAAGACCTGTTGTAGCCGAGTTCTTGAATTGATTAAAAAACAACAAATTGAGTAACTTGAAAATACTTTATCACACCGCTCGTTACATATATACATGTTAAAACATACATAACACCTATTTAATATAGATATAATGCCACCTATACATTTTACATTAAATAATTCACTATAAGAAAAGACCTTAATGGGTTGTAGTGGTAATAGTATAAACCTCCATTCCTTCATGTACTATTATCATTAGATTTTGTAAAATGAATTTCATTAGTGGTAGAAATCATGAATATTTTGTATGTGAACTTATTTTACTTTTAAACTTTAGAATTCGTCCAAGTAAAATCATCATTTGACATCGTTGAGGATGTGAAATATCATAAATGTATGTAATCTTAAGAATGGCTAGTTCCTGGCACATGGTAAAAGAAAAAAAATGTAAAAATAAATTTGTTATTGTAAAATTAAATAATAAGCAAGAGGAAAGCACACTGAATTTCTAGTAACAACATATAAGGCAAATAATTATAATAAAGTAATTAAATTTAAATTAATAAAAAATTGAAAATGTTTCTTGTTAATAATTCAATTGCTTATTACCAAAAGCAGGATAATGTGTTTAGTCAGACTGTTCGTTCATGACTGTGATTTTCTCGACTGATTTTTAAATTTGACACTTTAACTATTCAGTGAAATAACATAAACAAAGAACAATTTAAGTTCAAATACTGACTAATTATTACATTGAATGATTTTAATTTTCCTTTTTACAGGCATGTAAAGATTTTATGACCAAACATTTGTAGGGAATCGTAACCTGAAGTGAAAGGGAACAAAACTAATACACCAAGTTTCATTATTAATAATCATCACAAACAATTTGCCAATATGTTTTAGTAGTAGTACATTGTGTTCTTTGGGAGAAAAGATTTTTAAAATTATTTATTTATTTTTTTTAATTTTCATTTCTGTTCAATAATATTTGAGAAATAAACAGAAACTGAGGAAAATATTGTTAGGATAAAATAAAAACATAAAACATTATTTGTATTTACATTTAATAACAAAGTTGAATGCAGATTCATACAAAAGACCAAATTTCTGTTTTAATAAATACTTGTTTTCAACTACAATTTCTTGTTTATCTATTCTTCATTTATAGATTGGAATATGCACTGTTTCGCATGCACTTAAGCTGCATCCATGTTAATCGGGTCCAGTTTGACATCTGAAACAAATATATTTAAATATCAGTAAAGAATAAAATTGTTTAAAAAAAACTTTGACATTTATAATTAATAAAGGAAGGAGATGGTCCAGGGTGGCTATCATAAATAGGCTAAATAGTCGTAAAACTAATTTATTGAAAGCCGATGTTTCGACCCGACTTTGCAGTTCTTCTTCAGGGAGGTGTGTTCAGCTAGGAGTTTCACTTAGAACACTAATTAACACATGAACAACAAATAGTTTTACCACTATTTAGCCTATTTATGACGGCCACTCCGGACCATCTCCTTCCTTTATAAAGCAACAGTCAAGTATTAAATATTCATTATAATTAATACTGTTTATGTTACAAATACTGTCTACTTTTTTTCACCACTGCAAGGCAAAACTACTTAAAAATAAGCCAATTACTTCCACATTTTAAAAAAATAATCCTGGAACAAAAAGCAATTAATTTGGTGGTATAACTAAACATTTTATTTCTTGCTAGGCCACAATAAATCATTTAAATAATATTTCTTTTTTAAATGTACATTATAAGCAAATAACTTGACAAAAATCCTTGTAAGATTCAGTAAACAAGTCTTAAATCCATTAGTACACTGGTAGCCCCACATTGGGTGATAAGTATTTCGTCATGAAAAAGGTTAGGTGTAGTTGCTTGCAGGTGTTGATTTTTGGTAAGTTGAAAAATTGTGTTAGAAAATTTGCATTAATTTCGTAATTAAAACAGAATAAAATATGTGAGTTTTATAAATGTTGAATATTGTTTTAGATGAGTCTATGATTAAAATAGGGGTGTACAAGTTATACAAATGTTTCCAAGATGGCCTTGAAGACAAGTCTTTTAGATGTCCCAGCACCTGAACAATGATGAAAACAAGGAAAATGTAAAGGAAAAAATTACGAATGATAGCTAAATAACAATCACAGAAGTTGCTGATGAAGATGGCATACCACGTACCACGTGGCTCATGCAATGTAATTTTTTTGGGTTGTTTTAAGTATGAAATGAGTAATAGCAAAATCTATGGCACATAATTCACTTGTTCATGAATTTTTTTTCATATAATATATCATATCATATAATACTCTAAATGACTTTTTCCTCATAAAAGTGTTTTCAAAAAATGACCATTATTTTTAGAACTCAGCTCATATATTATTTTAATCGCATGCAGAAATGCATATGTCTACTGTTATATCAATAACAAAAGATGATTGTATGCCTATGCAAACAAAAAGCTTTAATGGATAGCCTAAACAGATGATCCTCAATAAAGGAAAGAAGAACAGAATTTTAATACTTCACTTCTCCTATTTGTTTCTTGGGGAATAATATTTTAATTTCATTATTAATATAAACCAAGTATGTTGTTATATCAAACTTAAAGTATGTTGTTCAATTTAAAGAGAAAATCTTTTCCTAAGCCATGTATTATTAAATATTCAATTGTATACATAACATGCAGAAAAACTAAAATATTATAATACTATAACTTTAATCATTTATGATATTAGAATGTAAATAATAAAACATTAAGTGTTGTATATGTATATTTAATTACTTACCAGTGAATTTAATATCAGGGAATTTTGTCATATCGACTCCCTCGCTACCACCATACATTTTAAGAAGTTTTGTATGTTCTTGTTTCAATTCTCGCTGAATTTCTGGGGAAGGATCAACCAGCTGGCCTCCACTAAAATTCATAAGTATATATCATAACACAATAATTCAGAGATTATTCAATAAAAAAACATTAGTCTAAATAAGGATAAAACTTCAGTAGTATCATCTCTGATTGACAGGTGGACCAAATTCAAATTGGTTACACTATATATAGAAACTATAGCTAGTAGAGAGCAGCTGTCTACCTATTATTAAGTAGCAGAAAGTTGCAATCTAATGAAAATAAGGTTAAATCTATGAATGTGGTTGTCGATACTTTGCCATTTCCTGAATTTCATTAGAAAAGCTCAGCCTTTATGTTGGAGTGATACTTGTGACATTTTACTCCTAATGCGGTTTATTAATAGAAAGTGAGAAGGAGTTGGTCGGGAATGCGGTCAAATAAATACTATATATTAAAATAGTGAGAGCGGGGTAGCTCAGTGGTACACTAAGCTCCCAATGCTGAAGATCCCAGGTTCGAATCTCGGCTCATAGCAGAAAAATTATTTATTCTGTTTCATTGGCCGTGGAGCGATCCTGCGGTAGGGAACCCCTCCTGGTGTGACATAGCTTCTACAAACTGGGTACCCTTAATTAAATAATTAATTAAGGGGAAAACCTCATGGTTGAGGGTGAACTTGGCCCGATCTCCTTCTTGCACAACCGTTGGCCTTGAAACAGTACTTTCCCTAAATAGTACTGAACCCAAGACCGTGCATGGATTGTAGCGGTACACTTTTTTTTTTTATTTGTTACGCCGATGTTTTGACCCATTTTGTAGGTCTTCATCAGGGCTACAAAAGATAAAAATATAAAAGGTATACAGTAAAAATAAATTAAATGAATGCTACAAGTTTGTTATCTGCTCATATCTTATCTTTTTATCACAATCTGTTTACTTTGAACTTACACACTATATTCACCTTGTTTTTTATTATTGATTGTATCTTTTATATATATAATACTTTATATTTTAACTGTACTATCACCCACTATATCACTGATGTCTTCTTATTAGTTCTTTTATTTCTTTATCAGACACTGTCTCTCATTTAATATCTACTAATATTCATTTAATTTATTTTTACTGCATACCTTTAGTATTTTCTATTTTTTGTAGCCCCGATGAAGACCTAAAAAGTGAGTTAAAACATCGGCATAACCAATAAAACACTGTTTTAATATGTAGTATTTACTCCCGATCAACTCCTTTTCATATTATAATCATGGTCAACCATCTCTACACCATTATTAATAGAAAGGTTTATAGATCTGGCACCTCCTTATAATTTTAAACACATGGCATTCCATATGTAGTGTGATCTTAGACTACTGGTCAACTAGATGTGACACTACTATAGTTTAACCGAAATAAGATATTGAATGAGAATTAAAATTAAAAAAACAATTATAACTTGTACAAATTTAGGCCTCACGAGAAGTGATAAGGTAGCTAGGGGAGCAGATCTGGAGACCGTCACACGCAACCAGACTATATGTTTACATTTTATCTATCGCACTAATGTATGCTGTGCAATAATGTAAAACATGCACTTCATAATGTTTTTGTTGCCAATATTATAAAAGATGAGGTTGGTAAATTTAACATTTGATGTGGGCCCAGGAAAATTAGTCTCTTAGTCTCCACAATCCTATGTAAAATTTGGCAATCACAAACTTTTGCATTGAACTATAATATTCTTTTCACTATAAATTTACTTATTAGTAATTTATTCAAAATTCTATATTATAAAACTAAGAATCAGGTATAAGACCGAAGCAATCAAGAATCTTGCACCTTTTTTAAATTAATTAACTCTTTGATCAATAAATAATTGATTAAAAAAATAAACAAACCAATCATAGAAACAGAACAAATAAATAAATGTTAACAATTAGTCTTTTTAAGCTTAAATACAATCTTGCCTTAAAAATCACAGTACCTGCTCTTTTTCTTATATTCTCTAAGTTTTTCAAGAAATAACTGTTGAATAGGATCAGTTGCTTTTTGTAAAGCTGGATAAAGAATGCCAAAATTTCTTTGAGAAGATTTCTTAATCAGTGCATTGGCACTGCTGAAAAGCCTGGAACCACTCATCATAGGTAGAAACTATAAAAAAAAAAATTCTACTAGATTGAAGTAAATCAAAATATAAAATTAGGCTAATGGTTTCAATAAAATTCAAAAGCTAAAAAAAATCATACTTCTTATAAGTCTTAATCAATGATTAGATAAAATTTACTTACCAAAATCCAGAACTTGAGATAACCTTCTAGTCAGCTGATGAAAAACCACAGCCACAACTATCTCATAAAGTTTATCTTATATTTAAATAAAACATATACTGTTTTTAGCATAAATAATTTTAGAGGCATATGATGGCAACGACAAGAATGATGTTATAAATACAATTAAAAGTAGGAAACAAAAATAAAATGTTAATTCAGACATCTTATCATAAATGAATCCCTTTTTCATAACGTCAAGCATATCTACCTCAGTGTCGAAGCAGCACGAATTATTTTGTTGTTTAATGCAAATCACACCAAAGTAAACTATTTCTGATTCCGAGGGTTTTGTAAACCATTTTTTGGTTTTCCTTTGGCTGAGATTCTTTGTTATTTTAATAATCACAATGTGGTCTGTTATAAATAATGGCTTTCAGTATTCTGTTCCAACCCTATCTCTGATTACGTAACATTCTCATTTGATGTAGCTTTGTTTCACTTAGAGGTTTACTCTGAATTTGCAAAAAAAAATTTGTAGGATCTTTGCAAGGCAAATTCATTTGCTAATATCAGAATAGGAAACAGATTTGTTTCCGTACTACCATTCTTGGGTTTATGTACCTTACCATTTTTTTCAATGATGTTTAGTTGACCATTTTCGTCATTTTTCCAGACTATGTGTGTTCATCATCCTGATTTTGACTCCTAAATATTAATAGTCTGTGGCACAGACTCTTTTTTGTTATCAAATTATTAACATCCGCCTGAAACTTCGTAAGTATCTTCATCTCACCGTACCCTACAAATGTTATATTTGCGAAAATTCTCGGAATTAGGTCGTTTTCAAACTTGAGATCGGCAAACATTTTCTATTTAATTAATATGAAAACTCACTAATACCGATTTTCTCTCCACTTGAATCGTAAGATAATATGATCACAAAAAAAAAAAGAAAAAAAAAAGGTGGCCTGCAAAAATATTAAGCCGTTTGGCCAATATAACCTCGTTATTTTGAAATTTTGGGAGGGGCAGTCATGCCAAACAGCTTAATATTTTTGTAGGCCACCTTTTTTCTGCAATTTTGTGATCATATTATATTACGATTCAAGTGGAAAACAAATGGATATTCAAATGGAGTTTTAAGTACCTTATTAAATAGACAAGTTTTGCCAATCTTAAGATTGAAATAAAATATTTGTAGGTCTCGATGAGATGAAGCTATTTACGAAGTTTCAGGGGGATGTTAATTATTTGATAAAAAGGGTATCACAGTATATAATTACACTATTCTTCTCTTCCTTTATGTAACTCGGATTTCGAGAATATTGACATATTACGCTGGTCACACATATATGATAATGTTTTATTTCATGTAACATATTTCTTCAAAATTAATTACAGTAAAAGATTCTCGTAACAGTTCTACTCGGATGATGGATTTCGTTATCCGATTTTAAGATGCCACTCCGGTTTCTTCAGGAGTGGATCTTCTTTCAAGATTATAATTGGTCGAAGCCATTGTAGTTTTCGTGTTGTAATTGTGGTCAGCGAATTTTGGGATCGCTGAGCTAGGCTATAGAGGGTCGGTATCCTTCCCAAAGCCATTCTCCTATTAGGTTGTTCAGATCATCTGGCGTTCTTCGAAGTAGACCGAGACAGAATACCGTTCCTGTTTAAATACACCTTACAGCTAGTTAAGGAAAAAAAATTGATGTGGCAAGAACCAGGACTAATATCCTGGTATCTTCACTGTTTATTCTACTGTCTCGTATAGAGCAACTGTTGCCTTAATTTGCCTAATGTGGAGATAGCTTACTTGTGGGTACTTATGAGTTACTGATATGTGTCTTGTTGGTGCTTACCTTCACTGATCGGGGGGAGGGGAGGATTAAGGAAAGTGTCCTATTTTTTAAATGATTAGTAAAACCATAGAAGCATTTTTTAGCAGCCAAGAGTTTTCTCTGAATTTATACATTCATATCATTATCAAAGTTTAAATCGAGGATTAGGTAATAAAATTTGTAATCCTTTCAAAAACGTTATTTTCAGTTTCTTCAATAATAACCCCAAAAGGTCATGCAATCATGTAGTTGTTTATTCTTGCGTTCACCATTAGTCTCACTCGAGCTGCAGCTAGAATTGAAGCCCAAATAATATTGTGCTTATGTCCATAAAGGTCTTACCAATGGCATCTACAAAAAGATTATTACAGATCTGTTGAATGTGTTGCTCCTACATGGATTATTTTACTACATATTTCTGGGGAAAAAATATTTGTAAGCAAGAAGGACAATTTGCTTGCTTAAGTCTTTTGTTTGAGTAAATGCTTTCAGAAGAGTTACCTCGAACTCGAGTCTTACACTCTATTTCTTTCTTTGTCTTCGTAGTTTATCAATTCGTTGTTAACTTTTGTGGCATATATTTATGTGTACAAACATAAATTTGGCTGGTATTCCCGTTTAAAATCCTTTTAATGTTCCTCTTTGGTGTTGCTATATATATTGTATTCTCAAGATCAATAAATAAATGTGTTTGTAGTGTTTCCTGGCTTTATCTAAAATCTTCTGCCACCATGTCCACTCCATCGGTATAAACATATTTCTGAGCTTGAGAACCTTGTATAAACTTGAGGCAAAGTTAAAAGATAAAAGGCTTATGCATACCTTCGATATTCTGTAAAAATAGGCGAATCTCACAATTCACTATTTTTAATGAAAACATAATTTACAAGATACCATTGAAAGTAATGTTTTTCACATTGTTACACCGGAGAATCTAACAAAAGAAATGAACAAGTATCAAAGACACACATTTGACCTTTTTATATATTTGTAGTTATTGGTATCATGAATCTAAAAAGATGAAAATCCGAAAATATTGTTCAATTTTTTTTTTCATAATGATAACCTTTAAAGCACATTTAAATTATGAATATTTTAGGTGAAGTTATTTTTGTGTCATATATTAACGGTTCCTCTATTCAATAATGTGAATCTATAAGAGCCACATTGGATCCATTAATACAAATGAATGATAGAATTTTAAATCATGTCGACATTCTATATAGAAAGATATTATGTGTATATCACACACAAATAATGAGATGTGAAATTGGATGAGGGAAATAAGGAGTATTTGTTAACAAAGATGATCAAACGCCAACGTACTTTTTCCTTTTTCAAAATATGGAAGGATGACGAACCCAACATTATTTCGAAAACTTGAAAAATTGTTCCTATGTTGACTGCAGTTATTACAAACACCCCGTTAGTATATCACCTACAAAACTAAATATTAATTATTTTTACACTATAGTTCTTCAAAATTAAAAATATTCTTTTATTGTTTTAAACTACTGTTCATAGTTTATTGAATGAACCTGGCATGTTAAATTGTGCTGTTGAACGAATCATTCGTTCACTCCTATAAAATTATATCTCGTTTCTTTCAATGTTCTCACTTAAGCAATTATATAAAATATATTACTTTTTTTTTCTCTTTAAACTAGTTTATTATGTTTCAGCAAATTATTTTGAACTGAATGATTTATATTTACTTGTCTTAAAATTCGTATTGTGGGCTACACTGTAAAATAATCCCTCCATTTTCATGTTTAACAAGTTCGAGCCTACACGCTGGTGTTTGTGGTATCGAATTATGTTCTGTGTTCTTATAATTTAAGTGGTCACAGGTAATATATTTTATTTTGTATTCACTTTAGAATTATTAGTTATAATATATTGATCTAGTGAAAAGGTTTTTTTAAAAACTGGCAATTGTTTTAGATTAATTTATAATCATTATTTTATTTCTTACAGATAAATTTGACAAAGAATGACATTTATAGTTATATCCCTTAATTTATAGTTAGCTAGTTATAATTTAGAAGTAGAATAATTTCAACTGAAGTTATAGTTCAACTATTTTCTAAATGTACATATATTTTTATTTGAATTTATCATCACTTAAAGATTCTTATAGTAGATTCCAAAATCTTATATAATTATCAGTGTACGGACTAGCTTCGTCTAGTTTACTGCTGATTTATTTATTTTTCTGAGATGTCTTTAAGTTGTCTTTCGAATTGAAAGTGATTTGATTTGGCGAATTGATATTATGATGGCTAATTTGATCATTGCTTTTTTGTTTCGTTTTTATGTGGCTATATTACTTTTCATATTAAAAGGTTTTGATTATTTGCTCCAATTCAGAGGATTTCATTCCAACAGACAATTATACAGTAGTTGAAATGCAACATTTTAATTATGCCCATTTATGAAGTACGATGGGTAACTAGTCTACATTATTCAATATTAAATACCCTACTTTCATAATTTTAGCTATTATAAATTAGTAAAATATATTTTATATACATGGATAAAACAGATTGTCTTTTCTGATAATAATTTTAATCGATATTTACGTTGCTATTTCATCTTAACTTTCTGTTTGTATAATATACAGAAGAAAATATACTTTTTTTTTTTAATAATATTGAAGCTCTTCTTTTAACCAATAGCGCCTTAACTGATCGGCAAGCTTAGTCGGATTCTCGCCTGATATTTATTTGCATTATTTTACGCGCTTTTTGGTGAGGTCAACCGTCAACTGTAGTATTCACTTTTCGGTAGGTTTTTTACTTAAAATTGATAAGTCTATTTTTTAGCAGTGAAACATACATTAAGCAGTTGGTAATTCTCATTTTTTGTTAAATTTTAAGAAATTAAATAATAATAATAAATCAAACAATACGTTTTAGGACCTAAACAAGATTCAATATTTTTGTGAATTAACGCGCAATTAGAACAATATAATTGTACTTTTAATACAACATGGATTTTATGGACAAGATAATCAGCATTTCATGGATTATCCATAATTTGATAAATTTATTTATCATCCGTCATGATTCCTATTTTCAACGTAAGCTGAACCAGGAGGATAGTTAAAAGACAAAATAATGACATTTTCTAGGTTTAAGTACTTGGAGATAAATAATTTTTGAATTACATCAATCTTGTAATTTTCGCCGATATTATATTTTTTTATTCTTTCAAAGCTAATTTATTATTTTGAAAACAATATAAGGCATTCCAA